GTACGTTGGGCAGACAAGGGAATATGGGGCGGTGGCCATTGGTCATTTCTTTTGGTTACTGTCATGGATTGAATTATGTCCCCCCAAAATATGTGTCAACTTGGTTGGGCCATGACTCTCAGTGGTTTGGTATTATGTAATGATGCATAATATTGCATCTCTATGATGTGATCAACCAATGTGTTGTAAGGGGAATAGGATAGGATGCAACACCCTTAATCAGGTCACAGCCCTGATGTCACAGCCCTGATCTGATGTAAGGGGAGTTTCCCTGGCCTACATCACTTTTTATCTTATAAGAAATAAAAGGAGAGAGAAGCAGAGAGAGGGACCTGACTCCCATCAAGAAAGAAGAGCCAAGAGTGGAGCCCATCCTTTGAACCTGGGGTCACTGCACTGTGAACTTTCCAGACCCAGGGGAAGACTGATGCCAAGACACATGGAGATCTCCAAGAGATGGCAAGCCTGCAGATGTTGAAAGAAGACAAGTACCTTCCTTCAGAGCCGACAGTGACAGAAAGCCTTCCTTTCCTTAGAGATGGTGCCCTGATTTGGGATTTCTTGCTTCTTGAACTGTGAGAGAATAAATTTGTTACAGCTATCTGCTTGAAGTATTTTCATTATAGCAACAATAGATAGCTGAAACAGTTAACGAGTACCTGAACACCTTTTCTCTTTGGCAGGCCCACCATTGGGTGAGTTTGGGCAAAGTCTTGCCTCATCCTAGAATTGAAGGGGCCAGATCATCTCTTCACATGTTCTGGCACAGAATGGATGCAGTATACCCAAGGCTAACCAAATAATACACTCCTGGAGCTCATGGGGGAGCTCTGGTAGCATAGTGGCTAAGGCACTTGACTGCTAACCAGAAGACTGGTGGTTCAAACCCACTAGCCACTCCTCAGAAGGAAGATGGGGCAATCTACTTCTGTAGTGAAACCCAAGGAGGGGTCACTATGAGTCGGGTCCGACGCAATGGCACATAACAACAACAATGGAGCTCATGGCAGAGATGATTGAGGAATTATTCACAGCAATGGGGACAACACTGGTGATCCCTTTTGGGGGAAGGGCCATGTGGTCAATGGCAGTGGTGCCAGCTGTAGTGTCCTTACCAGATGGTTTCTAGGTATGACTTTGACTGGGGTTCCAGCAGCACAACTGCCCTTGGTTCCAGTGTGCTGGCTGAGCTTATCTCCAGCCTTGGTGTCACCACTGTGAGCTACCTGTATCCTCCTTATAATGTCCTTTTTCTAATTCAGCCATGTCATTTTCAAGTGCTTGCCTTCAGAACCCTGGAAAGGGCTGGGTAGATGAAATGGGTTGACTTCTCTCATCTAGACTGTTGCTAAGACCTTTCCCAACAGCTGTTTCTCCTTCATTCCCAGTGCCTCCTACCCAGTTGGTCTCCCTGTGCCAGTCCTGACTCATCCAAAGCATCCTGCAAAAATCCCCAGAGAAGCCCTCAGGGTACAGCACTTTCATTAAAAACTGCCGAGTGGAGCCCCCAGCAACTCTACTTTGATTTCAGAAATGATCTGAATGCCAGGTCTTTCTCACCTTGCCTCAACCCCTTCTCCAAACCTCCCAACAGAGCTCCTTCTAATTAAAACAATTAACTTGAAAAATTACAGAATGTTTGTAAAATAGACGGAAAAATTTGTACCACAAACTTTGTGATTCCTTTCCAGTCTTTAATTATCTTCCCACATTTTAAATTCATGGACTGACGGCTGCCTGTGCAGATGATCATTCCATGGGGGTATACTGCCCCACCCCACAGGTAGTGGCCTTGGTCATGGGCTTTGGCCGACTGAATGTGAGCAGTGAGAGAAAGCCTTCCTGTATAGCTGGTGCCCTGAATTTGGACTTCTAGCCTCCCAAACTGCTTGAACATGTGTAGAGTCTATTTGTGCTTGCAGGGTTTGGCTTGGCCTCTTGTGCTTCTTTCTTCCTGAGAACAGTGTTTCTTCAGTCTGGGTAGAGATTACGGAATATGTGTGGAATATACCTGGATCAGATCCATAGCCTGGAGTGTAACCCCAGTGGTTAACTTGTAGACCCGAGAGCAAGAATTTGTAGTTGTAAGCCACTGAGATTTTTAGGTTGTTTTGTAGCAACAGCTGACTAATACACCATCTTACACGAGAAATTATAGTTACAGAACATGAAATCTGCTAAATACCATGCCCAGCCATAGTCTTGCATGGCAATTAGTTAAGTCTCCAGACGCAGTTGAGGTTGTATTAACATTCTACTGTCATCTCGTTTTTACTAATGGTCTTGAAACAGGAGAAAGGTCTGATGGTGAACGGCCTCTCTGAGTGTGAAAGCTTATCACATTCCAGAAACCAGATCTCTAATACCAGGACACCTTGGGGTAGAAGATATGAGAAGAGTCGGGTGGGTATGGGGAAGAAAGCATGAGAGTAGGAGAATTGTACCAGGTATCAGCAAGCCCCTAGCCTGGAATTGTAGCCAGGAGAGGCTGATTCCACTGAAGCCCCTAAACCTGCTCCTCAATTCCTCCAGAAACACTTGCATCTTACTGAAATGTAAGTCAAGGTTTTGAGAGATTCTTTGGGAGTAGAGGGGAGATCAGGGGCATTCATTCCAGAAAACAAAGATCCATGTCCAGTGAAGGTTATTGCTGAGGCTATGTCATGCTCTCAAGTGTCTTGCATAACCTGCTCTTGGCATGTTACCATCCAAAGGTAAGCAGCTGTGATGAGCACCATCTCACTGTCATAAGTAAGTAAGAGTTTAGAAACTCTAGGTGGGCAAGGGCCACATTTGAATTGTCCTCCCTGTGTCCCCATTATCTAGCACCATGTCTGGCTCATAGGTGCTCAATAAATATTTGGGTAAATGCATGAATAAAACCTTTCTTACAAAACGTTATATCCACTGCTACTCAGAGCTACTTCTCACATTCTGGTGACGAGAGTAACTGATATATATGTGAGGGTATGAGATCCTGGGTGGCTCAGCTTAGCTGACTATACTGGGCTGTGATGCCCCCAGGTTTCCAAGGACCCTGATCCCAGCACTGGCCTTTGTGTAAGCATTCTGTAGCTCATTTAGTATTGATTTTTTTTTTTTTTTTTAGGGCAAAAATAGAGAATTTAAGTTTACCTTTTTCCTTTTCTCCAAACTGAATAGGTTTGTCCATGGCCCAGGCAAAGGGCACAGTTATTTACATAATTCACATGAAGTCCAATTTAGATAATTTCTAAAATGCTTTTTAAAATCTCCTCCATCCATACCTTTTTATATTAACCTCCAGTTGGAATCCACTCAACAGCAACTAACAGTGTATTTGCTCTCAGTCAGAAGAACATGGCTCTTGTAGGATCTGGATTCTGCCCATCTGGTTCCCTGGTGTACCACCAATACCTACAGAAACATCATTCTTAGTTTTTAAATAACTCGAATTATTGTATTTCACTGTTGCTGATGGATCAAAAAGTTTGGTTGGACCTTAAAATAATACCAGATCCTGTTGGCCATTCTTGGTTATAGTCATTCTCTCCAGCTTTCAAATGACAAGTAGTGTTCTATACTACAGCCAATTAATATTTTAAGATTCTAAGAAATGGACAAGCCACTTGTTGCTTCTTTTGGTTGTTCCTGAAGAGACACTTCTACTTGTGTGTAAAAATTCCAGGTGTTAAATAAATGTGTCACTTTCTGGCCTGGGGCCACTCTGAAGCAGGGTTGGCATGCTGTCTATTCCCAAAGGGTAGTAGCTCCTCCCTCTAGTGACTTAAAATGGTCCAGACCAGAGCCATCTAACATCTGACTTCTATGATCCATGGGATTTTCAATCCCTATATTCACATCTAGGAGCTCTGGTGGCATGGTACCTAAGGCATTTGACTGCTAACCAGAAGGCTGGCGGTTCAAACCCACCAGCCACTCCTCAGAAGGAACATTGGGCAGTCTAATTCCGTAGTGATACCACCTTGGAAACCCAAGGAGGGGTCGCTATGAGTCAGATCTGACTCGATGGCAGCGAGTGAGTGTGTGTGTGATATTCATGTCTACTACTTCGATTAAGATCCCACACTGGGTACATATTCATGTTTTAAACAATCTTTAAGGATATCTGCAGTAGACATATATTTTCACATACAAACTTAAAAAAATACTCTAACATAATACATCGTACTATATAGAACCAGAATTAAACATAATATATTACATTGGAAAAATATTCATATAAATACTGATAGATTTACCCACTTAGAAAGATATATCTATTAAGATATTAAAGACCACTATCAACAAACTTCAAAGAATTATTTTAACAGTAAGAAGACTAAAAATAACAACTATGAGGTTTATAAACAATAGGTGCAAAAAATAATTCTTTGTATTTGCTATTATGTGACAAAGGGAACCATGGGGTCGTAGCAGTTAAGTGCTTGGCTGCTAACCAAAAGATCAGCAGTGTGAATCCACAGCCACTCCTAGGAAAGATATACCAGTCTGCTTCCAGAAAGAGGAAGCCCTATTGGGCAGTCCTACTCTGTCCTACAAGGTCTCTATGAGTTGGGATCAACTTGATGGTAGAGAGTATTATGTCACAACAGGGCCAATCTGAAATACAATTTTAGACTTGCAGTGTATATTTTTTTTTTTAAGTAATACCTTTGATAGGTGTATCAGCACTTAAAAACACAACAAAACCAAATAGCTGTGTAGTTATTCCTTTTAAAGACCTACTAAAACAACTCAAGTTACTGTTCTCAGCTAACTCTGTAAGCACCAACCTCAAAAGCAAGTTCTCCCACATATGTACACACACTACACACAACCATATATGAAAATAGCTACTTAAATCTATTGTGCATGCTGATAGGGATCCAAATAAGGCCGAGATGAAGGGGCTTGGAGACCCATTATCAGTTCTAGGTTTGGGATGAACAAAGATAAAAGTAAGGTGGAATTTGTCCATGGTTTCTATTGCACTTAGGGGCCCTCCCTTTAAGTGGAGTTTAATCTGGCATGTCAATATTTAACTTGGGAGGTGGAGGAACATATTTTCCAGGGCTCTGGGTTATAACCACCCGGGCCTTCTTTCCAAACACTGGGGCAATTTTAGGGGTTTCTGAAACCGATGTTTCTTCAGCATCTTCACTATCTTCATGATGTAGGTCATATGAAATGTTCCCATATTCTCTTAAAAATGGGAAAACTTCAAGCAAAAATTGACAGAAATCTCTGCGAATACCAAACCACCAATGATTGCCCCCCTTACGCCTAAACGTTGTGGCCATTAACGTTATTAGTGAAAGCCAAAGGGGGACAAATATGGATATATAAGAGAATGTATTGTGACCGTCCACTCTGTGAGCCAGCAGGACCTCGAAAGTAAGAAGAGGCACAACGATCGTTATCCAGCTCACGGCCATGGTCACATGTGTTCTTCGCTGCTCCGCAACCACATCCAGGGACCGCAGGAACAGGAGCGACCAGATAATATAATAGAGGACTACCAGGCAGAGGAAAGACATGAGGATCCACAGGGGCACAAATACTACAAGCCACGGCCAGTGGATAATTCTGTCCAGCCTCAGGGCGATAAAGATAAACTGCAGGATGTTGACAGAGCACAGGATTTCCAGCTCCAGCGAACGATCATGTCGGAAGCCCCAGACGCAAGCGGCCACGGACACCGGGGACACGAAGAAGAGCGGCATGAAGACCAGCAGCCAGAAGTGAGTCCCCCTCTCCACCCTGTCGCACACCAGCACTTCGAACATCAGCAGCAGCAGGTGGATGCCCACAGAAATCAACATGGCTTTGAACTCCACGCAGGCCTCTCCCTCAGTGCGGTAGCGAGGGTTACGGGCCCAAACGCCTGCGCCCACAGAAGCTCCCAGGATGACCATGAACTTCCACAGCCATATGGGGGCAAAGATGGCCCAGTAGCTCCACTGGATGACGCGGTCCAGGCGGAGGGGCAACAGTACCGAGAAGAACAGCAGGCAGGCGTAGATGAGGAACTTACTGGGGTTGAAGTCCTGGAAGAGGCCCCTGGGATTCATGGCGAGGGCCGCTGCCCGCCCAGGCCTCTTCCCCACCCGGACAGAGCCGCAGCCCTGCCGCCGCTTTGGCGCGGCCTGCTTCCGCTCTAGGTGGGCATCCACCTGGGCGAGCTTGCTGGAGGCTATGACCTGTGGCCAGGAGAAATTGGAACACGTGCGCGCGCGGTCACGTGGCAAAGCCGGAAGCGCGGTCGGGAGTCGCGTGCGCGCCCGGCGCTACCAGCAGCTGGGGATCTTCGGCTGGAGGGGCCGCTAGGAGCTGGGAACTGCGCGGGCCGCAGGGGTGTTCTTCCGCATTACAGGCTCCAGAGCAAGGTGCTGGGATCCCAGGCCTCTCGCCAGCATTTCGTTCACTTTTGGGAGCATCTACTGCGGGCGACCCCGGAAGGGCGGAGGGCGGCCTGGGTTGGGGCCCTGGCGAGCTGCAGACGGCCGCGGCTTGTCCGCTAGCAGCAAGCCGGTCGCGGCCTCGGGCGGATGTTTCCTGGCGGCAATGGGAGCTGGGAGGCGAGAGTGAGCTCACATCCCGCCAGGGGCGGGGCCCCCTGTTGGTGCTCCACCCTTACTATTGCTTCCCTTAGCTCTCGCAGAGCTGGCCCAGGGATGCGGCCGCCAGTAGTGAGGCACCAACGCCAGGCGCGTGGGACGGCGTGTGCAGAGTGCAGGACCCTGAGTGTGCACGAACGGAGGCGGATGGCCTGGGATTATGGGAGTTTGTGAGCGAGGGGTGGGTGCTTCTAACTGTATGAATGCGCACGGGCCGGTCTCCCTATATGCGGCTTTTCGGATCTGTGTGTTCGGCCCGTGTGTGGGGTCAGTGCATGATGTCGGATGGGGGATTTTGCCTGGTTGGGCCACGGATAGTTCCCACGCTGCCTAGGAGATGTCTGGGGCAAACTACTTGGATAGTAAGGTGGTTTTGCATACCAGGACATAGTCCCAGGGAGCAGGTGGAAGAAACTGGGACCAGAAAGGGGGCTCTTTTTGCCCTAGAACACTCAGTCGGTTAAAGAGCAGAACTAGGACTCAGATTAAAGGCTCCTAGAGTCCCTGGTCCTCATTTTGGCTTGTCTGGCCCTGCCTGAGCCTGATTCTCAGAATCATGTTGAGGAAAAGTACCCTGGACCAGAATTCAAGAAATTTGGCTTCCAATCTAGGCCTAGCCACCCACCAGCCGAAAAAACAGGCACTTTCAACTCCTTCTCTCTGGACTTCAGTTTCCTGAGGTGGGGAGGCTGGTCTGAGTGGCCTCCAAGGCAGCAGGTCTGAGATTTGGAGCACCCCTCTCTCTCTGGCCAGGTAGGCAGACCTGGGAAGATTCCTCCCCCTCTCCTTCATTGTCCTGCTGCTCAGAAAGCCCTGGTTGCTGGTCCTTCTTGCCTTTAAGTTCTCACTAAGTCTCCTGTAGCCTGGTTTCCTAAACCCAGGCTGTGGAATAATGACAGGATAGTACTGGGTTCTGAGGTGGGGAGAGGTCATCAGAGGAACATGTTGGGTCTCCATGGGTTAACAAGGAATGGGTAGATTTTGGGCTTCCAGAGCTGGGCAGCTCTCCTGTATTCTCACAGTCCATCCAGAGGGAGGTGGAGATTAGGGTTCAGACCCAGGAGCCAGCTTTCCCCAGACAGCCAGTGTCAATAGGATGTTCATGGAGGGTGGTATGAGGTCTCTACAACTTTATGTGCTCCCACCTTGACCAGGGACAGTCAGGTGGCCCTGGGGAGGGACTCCCAGCTGAATGAATCTTGCCAATACTCAAGGTTCAATCTCCAGGCTTGATTCATAGACAGAGACTGTCTTCAGGGCCTCTGGTCCTTGTGCACAGGGGGTTTGCTAAGTGGCCTTTCTCCCTCAACACTTCCTCTCCCCCAGGCTGGGTTGTTTGGAGTTTTCTGTTTTGCATGTTGGGCTTTCTTTTACTATTTCAAGAAAGGATTTGTCAGCTAAAACAAACGAACAAAAAAGAAAACTTATGGACATTTTAGCCATAAAATAGGCCAATAAAAAGCACATATCTCTTATAGGATTGTTTTGAGGATTTAAAAAAACCAAACCAAACTCACTGCCATCGAATCGTTTCTGATTCATAGAGACCCCCATTGGGTCTCCAAGCTGTAAATCTTTGCTGAAGTAGATTGCCCAGTCTTCCTTCTGTGGAACAGTCGGTGCGGTTTGAACTTCTGACCTTACAGTTAGCAATCAAGTCCCTTATCCACTGTACCACCAGAGCTCCTTGCTTTGAGTATTAGATGAATCAATCCATGGACAAGCACTTTGCACTTAAAAGAAAGGTGAGCTATTAATATTACTACACTGAAAAAGAAGGGGACCTTCTGGGAGCCCAGCAATGTGTTGGTGTCAGATCCAGGTCCTTGGGCTCCCAAGGATCCTCCTACCTGTTAGAACAGTCATCAGTCCTCCCTTATCTCGCCCTGGTAACCAGATGCCTCTGTGACCAGCCTTCTTCCAAAGACAGAAGTTTGGAGCGTGCTTCCTGCCTATAGAGCACCTCAGGCAAGTGCCTGATTCTCTCCATCCAGATTGCCTGTCATGGTGTAATGCACACCTACTGCCTTCACAGCCCAGCTCCTTAGGCAACACAGAAACTGTCTCTAGGTCTGTTCTAGGGCAAGATCTACTACCTGCCATCTCTTCTGCAAGCTTTCCTGGACCCATGGATCTGGATCTCCAGTTCATCAAACACCCCTACTTGCTCTTCTCTCTTATGTGGTCAGGCTCTCTGGGACATGCCCTTGCCTTTGTATCTGTTTTTTTAAGCTAACCTGGATTGTTCGCTATGTGTCAGGTGGTGGACGACGCAGCTGTCTGCAAGGCTGGTACACAAACCAAAGTGTAGGCTCATTCATTTACAGAGAGCATGTGGGTGTGCTATCTAGTTCACAATGCAGGCTTGCCTTTTCCCTGAGTTTGGGGAGTGTGGACCCAGAAGGCAAGGACTGGCATGGCCTGCGGATCACTGTCCTGAAGCTCTGGGGGAAGCCCTTAGATACATTCCCACCCAGGAGTCTTTCCTCTGCTTAGCTTCCTCAGTCCCAACTCCTTGGTCTGACCTGTGAAGCCCTCCTGAGTATACCCTCACCCAACAGTTGGCCAAGTCCCTTTTTTTTTTGTGATGTGCCAGTTAGCTGCCATCCCCTGAATGTGCCATGGTCCTGCTATTCACTCCTTGAGGGCGGGTCCTGCCCACATAACCTCTCCTCCTTCCTTGTCCTCTAAGACTCAATACAGAGAGCTTCTAGCCCTGGGAAACCTCAAACCCTGGTGGACTGGTGACTCTTCCCTCCCATCCCACAGCATTAGGGGCTTTGTTACTAACACAAGACTCATCTCAGTAGGTTTTGGTTGATTTGGCCATATTCCTCCCCATACGGTTTTAATAAATAAATAAATTTTGTTTATTTTATTGTTGAGAATATATACAGCAAATCAGTTTCTGCATGTACCATTTAGTAACATTGATTACATTCTTTGAGCTGTGCAGCCATTCTCACCCTCATTCTGTGAGTTGTTCCTCCCTCATTGACATAAATGTACTGCCCCTTTAACATTCCTAAGGAGCTCTGGTGGTGCAGTGCCTAAGGCATTTGCTAACCAGAAGGTTAGTGTTTCAAACCTACCATGGAAGGAAGACGGGGCAATCTACTTCCAGGAAGATTTACTGCCTTGGGAACCCAATGGGGGTTGCTGCTGTGAGTTGGAATTGACTTAATGGCCGTGGGTTTGGTTTTGTTTTTAATGTTCCTGTCTAATCATTCCAGTTACTGATGTCAATTTGGTCCCATATAGATAGTTCTTAAAAGAGCATAATGTTCAAGGCAGATGTTTTCTTAATAGTTAAGCCAAACTATTATTTGGTTTTAAGAAGATTTAAGGGGATATTTTTAGTTTAAGGTCTAAAGATCATCTCTGGGCAATACTTTCAAGGGTTTATCCACCTTTCATGGCTCCAGGAAGTCTGGATTCCATGAGAATTTGAAATTCTGGTCTGCATTTTCCCCCTTTTGACCAGAATTCTTCTAAAGAATCTTAGATCAAAATGTTGCTGGGCACCAACCAGTTCTTCTGGTCTCATGGCAAAGGAGGCAGTTGATCATGGTAATTAGCCACACATTCTGTATCCTCCTCCTGTTCCTGACTCTGCTTCCTCTGTTGTACCAGGTGAATAGAGACCAATTATTGTGCGTTGGATGGCTGTTTATAAACTTTAAAGACCCTAGGCACTATGCCAGATAACCCAGGGTAGTGTCTCTATCATAAGGCCAGTCTTTTGATAATCTTCGTTCCATCTGCAAAGTCCCTTCACAGCACTACCTAAATTAGTTTCTGATTGACTTACCAGGGCACAGGAATCTTAGGGCCCATCTGTAGAATTCACAGTACCGGCAGTCAGGTCAAGCTTGGCTCTTCCTGCCCCCAGTGAGGAGACCTCCTGCCCCATGAGAGACCACAGCTCTGGGGGAGACCAGAGTGACAGGGACCCCTTGGTGACATCTGGGCTTGCTTCCAGGCTGACTGCCAGTCCTTTGAGAATCTGGGTGGAAGTCAGGACTCTTTTAAGGGGCCCGGGCCACAAGAGAAAGGCTCTCTTTGCTGAATGTCTTCCTGAGTCGTGGTTTGGGGGTGGTAGTGACCTGTGAACAATGCCCAAGAAAATTTTCCCTTTCAGACTAATTTGCACACACAGCTCACCTGGCCCTTTGTGGCCATGTAGGTGCCCACCTTTACACCTTGGCCCCAGGCTTTAGCCAGACCTGCCTCCCTAATGCAACATGCTTTCACCAACTCTACCTGCAGTACCCTGCTCACCCTCTCCCCACCTCCTTGCTCCAGCACACACCCATACAACCTTACCAGTGAGATTGTGTGGTCAGGGAGCATGGGATCCAGAGTTCCCGCAGCCCAGGTGCCTGTCTAAAGCCCTGTGGCCTTGGCATGTAACAGTTATAGTGCCCTCATCTGTGAAACTGAGATAACCTCAC